TTGATGATTTTATTTTCTTGGCAGAAATAAATTTATGCAAAAAAAAATTACGAGCAAGAAAAACAATGAAAATATTCGGCATATTTCTGACAGCTGCTTAGGAAATAACCAATAAAAGTCAAAGAAATTTCTTTATAGACATTTGAAGAAAAGACAAGACCGGAAATACTTTAATTTTTCGACTGAGGTAATTCTCTAATTGAGTGAGTGAAAACTAACTATTGCCAACGTACGTACACTCACACGTACACGTACTTAATGATACAATCAATAGATTGCGGCCACGACCTTCCACCCTTTTTCTCCTGCCTCACGTCTTTCTCATCATCACCGAGTTTTTGTTCTAATGCGTTCACTTTGCAATAGGTTTCTTAATCCGGTTCTCCGACCAAAACGTGAAAGTGTATCAAATTTCAATCAAAAGTGAACAGAAAATTGAGCAGAAGTCTGCTTGCATTGACTTAACATCTACGAACGGACAGAAATATTTAAAATGATTTCGAAAATGATTCCAGAAGTGATTGATTCAGAAGTCTACGTTGTTTAGATACGCACACCATCACCCTAATCACGAATGGTATTCGATATAAGTAATTTCTGCGATTATTGACAAAGCAGGCACAAAATTTATTATATTAAATAGCTTTTGTATTTCTTGCTGGCTCACACCGTTTATTAGTATCCCTCATTATCAACTTGCTTGTTGTTAATCTACATCTACTTTTGATCCTTTATTTTGTTACTTACAATCATCAGTTAATTCTTGTTCTCTGTTTTCGCCCTTATTTCACCGAAACCTTGATCGTATGCGAAGGCTATAAATACAGGGTTATTCTCATTTATTTTTTTGCTCTAATTGCACAACGAATGCTTTATGAACACGAAACACATATTTACGCAGTAGATCACAGAATTACGCGGCCGATTCAAAAAGCGTGTAAGGCGCACAGTATCACAGAAGTGCCTCAAGAAGAACGAAACGAAATTGATTAAAAATAAGATTAATGAAAAGAGAAAGAAAAGCAGAAAGAGAAAGAGAAAGAAACTCGATTATATAATGTGTGAGGATTCAATTATTATTTTCATTTATATTCGATCCGTGTTCACATCAACACTGACATTCTGATTATTGCTAGAGCCTTCCTATTATGAAGCTTTATATATATATTTTTTTTGACCATTTACATGAATAATTTCGATCTCAGCAGATGACACAAACCCTAAAAAAATAAGAAATTATTATCAACTGACTATAGCTAGCTATGTATGCATATATATTAGTACTATAAATAAGTGAATATATCTGAAGGATAAGACATTTTTCTTTCTCTGCACGTGTCAATAATTTGCGTCAATAACTCAATCGAAATGTGTGTTTGTAGAAGCTTGAAATAATTCGAAGGTACCTTTAGTCGAGAACTTACTGTATGCAAATATAAAAATATGTAGCAAAGATTGGCATCTATTATAACGAAACGAAATTCAATGCCAAAAAATTCCCTCTTAATAAGAATAACATAAATGCAAATATGTTAAAAGCTGAGGGTATGCTAATTCTGTCATTAAGTTTGTAGCAATCAGAAATTCGCTTCAAAAATTCCCTAAACAATGGGTTAATAAACTGCCAAGGTGGGTTAATTTATCTACGAGTTCTGATCTCTCTCTCTCTTTCTCCCTCTCTCTCTCTCTTTCTTTCTTTCTTTCTCCCTCTCTTTCCCTCTCTGTCTGTCTATCTGTATATCAATATAAGGCTTTATATTGGATGCGGTCGAAACAGTGGGGCGATCTGAAACATTTAGCATAATAGCGTTCGTCCTTGGACCAATAGATGTCCATGTACCAAATACCATCAAAATATCTCAAAAATTGCGACCTCTAAATAATAAGATCGCTAAAGGGAGGAACGGACAGATGGACAGACAAACTTGGATCAATTCGGAATGTGATCCTGAATCGATCGGTATAATAAACGAAGGGTGTATCTTAGTTCCGTCAGTATATCCTTGCGCTACAATTGATGTAGAGTAGAAAAAAAAATTTACAACTGAGAAGAGTTGCTTTTATTATTTATTTATTGTGTCCAAAGAATGTGGTATACCTTTGAGTTTTGTTTTTCTTTTTTAGGTCTCCAGATAAATATGTAGTCATAGGATACGGTACAGAATGGCTTTGACATGCCCATCCGGTCAGCTAGATAAGCTTTGTCTGTCCGTTTACCCCGTGACATATGTATTTTTCTTACTTGTTCTACCTTTTCATGACATGTGTCAACAATTCGAACTGACCTTCGCTTTGAAAAGCGTAAGTAAACCTTTAGGTTTCTCTACATACTAGGTTGCCAAACCAAACTCCTCGTAGCAGTTAGTTACATTACAATAAAAAGTCGTGTTTTTGTTTCAAATTATTCAAATATTATTAAAGAATTTTTTATTTACTGTAATTTTTACTATATTTCGAAAATCTTTGGATATATTATTATTATTATTATACCCATCACTGTAAAGTGGGGATATACTCAGTCTGTTTTTTTTCCATAATGTATGTAGCACCCAAAAGGAAGCTTCAAAAATCCTATAAGGCATATATATATTCGTGATCAGTGTGAAATTCTGAATAGATTTAGCCATGTCGTAGGAACATTAGAAGTTTTCGTATGCATGTCGGTATTGAAAATGGGCCAAATTGGTCTGAGCGGACGCGCGCAGTGGAGCAGAATGTTTAAAACTACTTTGTACACTTCTCAAATCAAGATGTATTATCTGCCTAAAAATGGGTAATAATTTTAAAAGGAATATGGTAGAGACCGCAATTAATTTTTTCTCAATAATACCAGCGATATGGGTATCGAATAAAAGGCCTTGACGAGTAGAACAGCGAACAGCATAGCGGTGGGTAAGCGAGATTCGGTCTTCGCCGAATATAATTTGCTTAGTTGTTTTTGTTCTTGTGACATAGTATATATGCCACGGTTACGTACGTATGCACTGGTTGAAAGAAGAAGAAGAAGAAGCGAGAATGTCCAAGATTTTATTTATTTAACATCGAACATCAATTTTTTTTCCTTGTATCGTTTGCACAAATGTAAGTAACTTTTACCTGTGTTTATAAATGTGTTCACGTGTGTCGACTTAAATAACGATACGTGTATCTGAATAGCGGAATAAAGATTGCATCATCATTTTTGGATCATGGAAATGGTAGATATGAAAACGATTGTCTTTACATGAGCAGATCGTCAAAAAAGTTATTTTTATCCAACATTACGCAATCGCTTACAATAATTAATGATACAGTTCTTTCGTCTGACCTTTTCTCCAAAGTTCATAGTGATTTGAATTTAACAATTTTTTTTCTTTCTTTTTTTCACGAGACGATTTCAATGTGCCAAGATATCATAAGATATCAGATCGAATATTATATGAAAGCTAAATTCGTAAAACTTAATAAAATTTATTTTAGTTCGATAAAATTCTTGAGACTATGTGGACACAAGCTCGTTTAACTAAAACAAAAAAAAAATATTTCAATCACATTGTCTTGGCGGAAATGATTGCCCTAGTTGGCGACTATTCGCAAAGCTACTAGATCACATTAATAGAATGGAAATAGCCCTCGACAATGTCAAGCACCGAAATATCAATCATGAATGAAATTTAAATTGCGAGGAAACTTTCTATAAAACGTTCGTCTATGCTATAATCTAATGATTCTCGCATATTCACTATATTCGCAAGATTCTCGAAAAAGCGTAAAGACAAAGAATGATGACGATGATGCATAATATGTGATAGTAATAAAGTAATGAAAAACCGATGAAAATCGATGAAAGCCAACTTGGGTTGGAAATTAATCGAAACTCTTGATGAAATTGAATTGAATATGTATGTCTACGATATGAGTTGCTGCTGTCAGGACGCAACACCAATGACTTGACCAGGATGACGTTATTCCAAACAATGCATGGATTTTGTAAGAGCATCAAATCAGAATAACGTTAGCAAACAATCAAAAATGAAATAATGAGTAACGCAGAGAATTTGTTCCTCTGATCGATTATTGAAAGACTTTTATCGTTTTAATTTTTCCAAAATTATTTTTTAATTTTGGCATTATTATACGTGTATTGAGGATAATTAAAAAATGTCCCAACTAAAATGCTGAGCGAAAATAATGCAGAAAAAATTGTAATAATAAACTAACAAGCGAGAGATTTATTAAATTCACCCAAATATATTATAGGAATGCTCCCAACTACTTTATATATAAATTCAGTTAACTAAGAAACGCCGTGGATTTAGGCGTTAAGATGACTATCGTCAAATAATATCTAGAACATTAAACTTATTATAGAATCTTTCCTTTTTATTATTTTTATATAACGTTCAGAAGTCGATTAAAGAATCGTGAGTGTTTATTTAAAATTGGGGAAAATCTAGAAAGTCGATTATTAAGTCAATTTTATCTACACATATCCTCCTTAATCAAAAATATATACAATTTTTAGAATCATAAGTGCTCTATATGCAACCTTAGTGAGTAGAGGTGGGATGAGATTATATTCCTTTCGTCAAAACATTTGCATACGTGTTTTTAATCAGTATAAAATTTTGAATTGATCTAAGCATATCCGTCCATGTGTCTACCTATCGTAAGTGTACTCCTGGTCGCAAAAATTAAGTCTTTTGGTATCAAATTTTCCGAAAATATTGGAAACAAATTAATATAAAAATTAGACGAAATAGGTCAATAAAAGAAATAGAGCTGATAATAGCTCTACTGTGAACAGTAAAACAAATCAAGTATTGTTATTCATTGTACTCATAAACTAAATTACAACAGGTAGGATGATAAAAAATATCCGTAGATCTTAAGTTGCCAGTGTTATATCAATCGAATCTATATGTAGCGTTGTGCTAGACCATCTTATTAAATTACAATGAAATGAAGAAACTTTCACTTACGTTTCACATTTGCATAACTATTTTTATTTTAATTCATAGATTGTTACAGTCAAAGGCAACCACGGGAAAAACAAGTATATTGCATAATTAGCAATTCCATAGAAAAGTCACAAGTCACAACGCTGACCCTGCACACACCTAATTAGAAGAAAAAAGAAAACCGTTACCAAAGAGGAAAAAACAAAAAAAAAAAAAAAAAAAAAAAAAAAAAA